ATCGGCTTTTCCCATAAGAGTACGTGTAAAATCTGTGTAAATTAAAATAGTTATATCTCGGCGACCATTTGGTGGATGCACTTTTACTTTTCTGCAATAAATTAGGAAGACTAAAAGAACAATTTCACAAATTTTTAGCGACTTTGTATTATTTTGAAGATAGGTCCGATACATCCTTAACGCGGTGAATATCTTTAATCTCAACATTTCTGTTTGTAATTGTACATCGCGCGAAAAATAAAAGTTTTTATCTACTGAGCCAAGTGAAACACGAATTGTGAAAGCTCTGTTCAAAGCGTGTCAGAGACACTCTAATTTACTATTACTGTAGATTGCTACAAATAATTATTGGCATGATTAGCAATAAACTGGTAACAAGATGCAGGTCTTTGGTATCACTGAGGTACCTTTAAAAGTATTGACCAAGATCATGAAAGATTCCTTATCGGACACCTGTTCACTGTCCTCTCGAGTTACTTTGCTGCCCTCCACAACTGGAGCTGCTCTGTTCCTACTAAAACTCGAGCCATCTAGATCCAAATGCTGTCCCATCGATCTCAAATGCAACCTTCTCCCTTCCTCCTCTTCCAGGTCTGCGTTGATCAAGTCTTTCTCAGGCGCCGACGCGTAATCTGTAAATTTGAAGTCCGACGAGTAAAAGGCTTTCGCTTTGCTACCCCAAGCTCTGTCATTTGGCATGTCGTCGTCCTCCTGTGCCCCCTCGATGTCGGATTCCATCGAGTCTTGCTGATTGTCCTCCTCCTCCTCCTCCTCGCTGTCATCTTGCAGTCCATAAACCTCGTCGTCGCTGTCAAAATTCTCGGTGGTGCGCGGCTTCCGCACTTTCTCCAGCAGCTTCTTTTCAGTCTCTGTGTATTCCTCTTCCGAATCTGTCACAGCATCCATATCCACATCTTCCATATCATTCACATTGTCCATGTCCTCAACATCGACAGGTTTTCTTGTTCTAAGAGAGGAAGCAAGTTTGTAAATAGGAAACGTTAAATAGCGTAGGGAGAATAAACGATCAAAATTGGAGTAGCTTGATGCGCAAAATCTTCAAGATGTAAATAAGTAAATATGAAATGTTACATGCTGTTTGATAAGGGCCTGTAAATGGGTCGAAACCTTGTAGTTTCTTTTCAATAAGTCAATTTCTTGCCAGTTTGGTCGACTGTAAGTTCGCAACTTATTTTCATTTATTACTGGCAACAATAAGCACCGCTTCGTACCGTTAAATAAGTGAAATTCGATTCCTACTCTTTCAAGTGAAGTTGGTACAATTAATGTTAATTTAATTTGACGCTTTAATAATTGCAATTAAGTTAAATAAAATTTTGGTCGCGAGGATGGTTACTTAAAATTTCAGTTCACATCTGATACATTTTCATGCGACTCTGTGAAGATAACTTTCTTCCCTGACTTTCAGGATTTAATCTTTATCGACTTAATAATTTTTTTGATCGTTACCTTTTTTTGCGAACCATATTCGCGAATAACACGAAGGTACTTCGAAGAAATACAAACTGTACCCACGTTGCTTTACGTCGCCTATTTACAACCTGATCTAACCTAATCCCAACTCACTCAAGAAACAGCCACTTCTTCTTCTTATTCTTATTATTGGCACTCGGCTCATTGACCACTGAGCCGACACGGCCAAGACGAACCTTTAGTCCTCCATAAATGCAACACGCTACACTGCCGCTCCCTTGCGGCGAATAGTCAAGGGAGGAGAGCGGCCGATTTAAAGGCCGCTAAGAGGAGGCGGCATAATTTAGGCTTGGGATTAACGATCAAGGGAAAGATGTTCGTGGGGTCAAAAGTAGAATCTAGCAAATCGGTGGAGATGAAATCAATGAGATTTTTCATGTGGTATTTAAAGGAAGGACAGGCGAAAATAACATGATTGAGATCTTGGGACTCTGCACCGCACACACAGGCAGGAGACGCGACGATATTTTTCCTGAATAAACTGTATCTGAAGAGTTCTTTGAAGTATCCGAGAGGGGAGTCAGATCCAGTATGCCTCGCAAGATGGGTGAACGGGAATATCCGTGAGAGTTTAGATGATTTTTGAAGAATTTCGAACGGCAATAGCGATGCCACTTTCCCCAGGAATATTAATATCATTTCTGATGAGGGTAAATCCTTTGTCAATTAAAATCGAGATCTCAGGGCTACGAACTCGGACGCCCCTGCAATTCCATAGCCAAATTCTAAGGCCAACGTGAGATTTAGTCTTCGCAATGAAGGCTGCGATCAGGTATCGGGGCCATGTAACCAGGCCGGAAGAATCTAGGATCTTGAGCAGGCGGGCATTCGGCAAGTGACTGTTGTCTCTGCGTAAGGGCAAGGAAATTCTGAAGAGGAGAAATTAAATTGTTTAGGTTATAGAGTTGTGCAATGATCCAGCTAATGGTGTCGTGTAGCGAAGAGTCAGCGAGGACCTGATACGCCGATCCCGACGTGGGAGGGTACGCAAGGCCCCCACCACCGTTGTTCAGCCTTCCATTAGGAGCCAACAGCAAGTCAGCATGCTCCTTCGAGAAGGGAGCCCTGGAGAAGGAGGGGGGGGAGGAGGGAGGAGAGTTACCTCCATCCTCGCCCCCAGTCACTGGCTGTGGTATGTGGGCGGGGTGAGAAGGAAAGGGAGAGGAATAAGAATGTTCGGCGGAGACACGAGGGCCCGTCCCGGAGACATCCGGGGAAGTCCGCGCCCCTCGTGAAGCCACCGACGCATAGCTGGAATGGGGACGAGCGCCCATCCCCATTCGCGCCGACGGGGGAACACCCGACGTAAAATTGGCATTCGAGTTAAAAGATCGACCCTTGAGAGGGGGAAAATTGACAAAGTCATACCTTGTGTCCCCCGAACCAAGCGGGGAGATCCCCGAAGGAAAAGACGATGCCGGGTAGGAGGACGGCAAGCTCCTCTTAGCCTCTGTCATTGAGATATTTTGAGTGGCCGCAAGAGCCTGCACCTTTTTGAATTGTACCACCACCGGACATTGATGAGACGTCGGTAGGTGATCCCCCCTGCAATTGATGCAGCACGGGGTTCCTTCGCGTTCCGGGCACGCATCACCCTGATGCTTATCCTCACCACAATGAATGCATCTGGCCTTTCCTTTACAGGAGCGACTGACGTGTCCTACTCGAAAACAAGAAAAGCAGATCTTTGTCTTAGGGATATAAGGGAAGACAGAATATCTAATATTAAATAAAAATATTGAGTTGGGGAGGTTTTGACCAGAAAACTTAATTAAAATGGTGCGGGAGGGCTCATATTTATATTCCCCGTCAACCTTGACTCTCCTGTTGAGTCTCAAGACATCCCTAATTTTAGCCGGAGATTTTATATTTTCTTTGATAGAGAGGAGATCCACATCCAAAGGGATGCCGCGAATGGTGCCAGCCCTTAAGAGCCTATAAGCAGGGATGTAAGCAAAGAGGCCCCTGGCCTCAAGCGGTTTGTCACTTACGATTTTGTTAGCATCGGCAACGGAATCCATCGTGATGGCCACCTGGCCTTTGCCTATGCGGGAAACTTCTCCCATACCTTTCGGGAAATAGGAGGTAACAATCCTGCTGATGTGAATGGGGTGCAGAGGTGGAGAGTTGGTATCTTTTATATGAACGATGTAGGGGGGAGAGTCAACACTGGAATATTTTTCAGGTGGAGATTTGGGGTGGGTATCTGCTGCGGGAGGGATTGAGGAGGAGGAGGAAGCCGACGGGGGAAAGCCGGCTACCGAAGGAGAAGAAAAAGAAGAACTGGTAGGCGGGTTAGCCGTTGAGGAGGCGGAAGAGGGAGACACAGAGGACGTACGATGAGCGGAAGAGTTCACGTCACGCATCTCGCAGTCCACAGGATCAACTGAGGCTTCAGCCGAAGTGTTGTTTTCCTTGATTAGGGCGTCAAAATTCCCTTCCGTCGGGAGAAGAGGAGTCTTCTTCTTTTTGTCTCGGAAGGCTAGTGCAGACGAGTTTCCATCGCCGAGACCGGCGCCTCTCTTGGTACCACGCAATCTCTTGATCTTTTTGCTGTTAAGCTTGAATTCGCCCCTGAGGGCTTCATTTAACCTTTCGATGGTGTTTTGAAGAGAAGGCGCATGGGGCAAGGTTGAAACAACCTTAACCGAATTATTTTTCGGCAAAACTTTGCCACCGTTAGATGATGCAATGTCCTCTGCGGATTGAGATGGCAGCGGGGGACGCAGGGGGGGGGGGGATCACCCGGATCCCCCATCTCCCCGACACCGCAGGAGGCCGAGGCCTCCTGCATTAACACGACTTGCACAAAGTCAGATAAGTTCAATCGAAATCACCCAAAAACGCCGCGAGCACAAAACACGCGGCACCGGGACGCAAAACGCAACAAAAACGAACGCACGGGACAGCAGCCAATCAAACACGATCCGAACTGCTCGAGCGCCAGGCACGGAATCAAGGATGTGTTCGAAAATGGATTTAGTTACTGCCAGTGAAAACAGTATAGTTGGTAGCAATGAAAATTACTGGTGCTGCGTTTTTCGCACGCCAGTAAAGTCAGTAAGGCTGGGTCTACATTTGGATGTC